TATTATATATATATAGAAATACTATATATATAAGTTTCTAGTATTTTATAACTAGTTTAAATACTAGCTATTAAATTCTAATTAAATTACTAAAATTTAAATATAATTTTCTTTGCCAAGAAAAAAACTCGCTAAGCTTATAGCTAGCTTAAAATATAACGTTTTAAATTTATTTTTTTAAAAAACTAACTAAACCTTATATTTTAGTATATATAAGTTAGTTCTATATTAATAATTATATATTACTTATATAATATAAAAGGTTCTAAATACTTTAAAGTTTTTTTTAAAAATATTAAACTTGCGACTTTGGCGAAACTGGCAACACTAGCGACACTAGCAACACTAGCAAATATATAAAAAAAAGTAAGCGTAGGGCAACTTTAGCGAATCTCCTACTCGCGCTACTAGCCTGCTACTAGCTGCTACCTAGGCGAAAATATATAAGTTGAATTTTGCTGATGCTGCAATATATTTAAACTACTACTTTTAACGTCTATAATATAACAACGCTTTACTGCATTTAAATTTGCAAAACGTAAAGTTATTTACTTATATTTATTTGCTTTATTTTAAAATTTTTATAAAGTTATAGTTTTTTTTTCTTATTGCTTTTGCGCGCGTATAATAGCTTATTTTTAAGCTACTATTATATAGTTTTCTGCAGCACGCTCTTTAGTAAGTAACTATACTATTTTTACTTTTTTTATAATTTTTTTTTTATATAATATTACTACTACTTTTAGCTTTCTTATTTTTTTTTTTTAAAATTATTTAGTTTTATTTTTGTATTATTTTACTATATTATATGCGCAAGCTTTTTAAATAGTTTTTAAATTTTAAAATACTACAGCGCTATAAAACTTTTTGCGCTATTAAAAATCTAAAAATTTACTTTTACTTTTATACTTTTTTTTAGTTAAAAGTGCGTTGCGGAAACTTTTGTTTTTATAATAAAAAAGCTTATTTTGCACTTAAAAAGAATATAGTATAAAACCTAATTATTTAGCTTTAATTTTTGCTTTATTTTTTATAGCAATTTTAAATAAATTGCAAAGCTAGTTTTAAGTATCTTTATTATTATCTTTTTTATTTATTAACTTTTAATCTTCTTATTATAGTTATATTTTAAATTATTATAGTATAATATTAGTATTAAGTAGCTTAACGCTTATAGCTTTAAATACTTTTTATATATTTATAAAAGTAAATATAGTATTATAAATAGCTTAAAATAATAGAAAAAAGTTGCTTTTATTTATAGGGACAAAGCCTTAGCTGCAATAAAAGTAGTATAAAAGCTTAATTAAATAGGCAGTTAAAAAAAGCAAAAAAAGTATTATATTTAAAAGTTATAAGCTATAAGTTAAATAAAAAAGAAATACTATTAAAAATTTTTTATTAGCGTTGCAAAAGTTTATAAAATTAGTAGTAAAGTAGCTGTTATAGCTATTAAAAATAAAAATTTTATAACTTACTTGCGCCTTGCTTTTTATACGCTAATTAAAAACTTATTTAAGCTAGGCTAAACTAATATTATTATTAGACTATTTAGAAAAACTTGTTATAAAAAAAACTTAGTATTTTTTTACTTTTATATTGCGTAATTAAATATTATAAAATTTTCTTTTTTTTTTAAAAACTATACTTAGATTTACTACGCTCTTATTTGTATAAATATATACTAAAATTATTATTTACTTTTAGTTACTATTTTATAAAGCTGCTATAATTTGTTTTTGCTTTTAAAATTGCTTTAAAAAAACTTATTTAAAGCATAAAATAATACTAATAAAAAAATTTTTTTTATTTATATTATAAATATAGCGCGCGTTAACTTTATACTTTTAAATTTTTAAATAAAAAAAATTAAAGTACAATTTATAGCTATACTTAGTATTAGCTAAGTACTATTTGCAATTAATCTTAGTAGTATATTTAAAAATAAAAGTATTATAATATTTTTTTAAAAATTGTGTAATTTATATATTAGAAACTTCTTATTTTAATATTTTAAAAGCAAAATTTTTTATTATAGCTTTTATAAGTGCAAGCCTGCGTTTAAATAAACTTTATATATACTATATAAATTTTAATTCTTATTGTAAATTAAAATATATTTATTATTAAGCTTTTTTTATATTTAATTGTGTTTTCCCTTAATATTAGCGCGCTAAAGTAATTTAATTAATACTAAATATTTTTATAGCTGCGCAGTATAAAAGTTACGTCAGGAAAATTCAACTTATATATTTTCGCCTAGGTAGCAGCTAGTAGCAGGCTAGTAGCGCAAGTAGGAGATTCGCCAAAGTCGCTCTACGCTAACTTTTTTAAATATTTTCGCCTAGTTCGCTAGTGTTGCTAATGTCGCCAATGTCGCAAGTTTAATATTTTTAAAAAAAACTTTAAAGTATTTAGAACCTTTTATATTATATAAGTAATATATAATTATTAATATAGGACTAACTTATATATACTAAAATATAAGGTTTAGTTAGTTTTTTTTAAAAATAAATTTAAAACGTTGTATTTTAAGCTAGCTATAAGCTTAGCAAGTTTTTTTCTTAGCAAAGAAAATTATATTTAATTTTTAGTAATTTAATTAGAATTTAATAGCTAGTATTTAGACTAGTTATAAAATACTAGAAACTTATATATATAGTATTTCTATATATATATAATAGTTCTAGCTAGAATAGGCTTAGTAAGCAGCCTAAAAAAAATTAATATATAATTTTACTATATAAATAAAGCTTTTAAATTAATTAAAGTAAAGCTATATAGTATTATTAATTTATTATATTTATATAACGCTTAGTCAGCTAGTGTATAAATCTAAAAATAATTTTATAATATAATAAATCTTACTATAGCTTTATTTATAAGCTTCTAAAAATTATAAATATACTTTTATATTTTTATAAAAAGTTTTGGCATTTTAGCTATTTTATTTTAGCTTTAAAACTATTTATTTATTATTTTTAGTAATATTATTTATATATTAAATATCTAAATAACTAGGCCTAATTAGGCAATTCCTAGTAGGCTATTTTATAGAAAATATTATATAGTATTATATATAATTTTTTTATAATTTTCTATTTATAGAATTAGCTGTCTATTCAGCCTAGTAGCGCTGGTAGCCTAAGTAGCTAAAAATTCGCCAAAATTCGCCAGTTTTGCTAGTTTTGCAGGATTTTCGCAGCTTTTTGCAGCTTTTCAGTTTGAATTTTCCTAACAACTATTTTTTAAAATTTTATAAATTAATTACTGCAATTATATTTAAAATTAAATTATTAGTAGTAGACATATTGCGGTTTAAAAATAACATATTAAGTCTATTTTAATATTAGGGTAGTTTATTAGCTGAAACAGTTTATTGGCTGATCTACCTTGGTAGCGGCCAAGCGAGACTCTACCCGCGCGCTGCGTCATCGCTTCTGCGTAGAGCCACAGACCTTCATCCACCATTCTGCTTCCTGCAGTGCGATCATCATAACAGTGCTACTAATGCTCGCGGCATGCTATGCGCTCTGGTTGCATACTACTTCCTCTCTGTCGGAGGCGACGACCATGCTTTGCATTGGAAGCATCTCGAGATCTGCCTGTTTCAAGCGCTTGAGTATGTAGATAACCGAGCGGAATATCAGCAGTGGCGAAAAGAGCAGCTTGACAGCTCTGCAAGGGCCTTGGATGCTGAAGCGGAAGCGATCGTGGGAGATGATGATAGGCCAGCCAATATCAAGGGTGGAACTGTCCGCTCACTAGGCAGCTCGATCAAGGTCAAACCCGGAACTACCTTAGCCCAGCTTATGGGGGCTCTAGGAAGAAGGGCCCAGCTCTTGGACGAGATTCCAGATACGCCAATCACAATCTCACCCCAGACCATATACCCATCCTATTTCCCCTTTCGTCTCCATTTGGGAACCTACAGTCCTCTTGACGCAGTTCGACCCCCGGTAGTCAATGTATACGTGTACTTCACGCAGAACGGCACGATTCGAATCCATGGCCACGGAACAGATAGCAAAGTGTTTTCGTGGAAATTGAACAGGCTCCAGGACGTGCAGCTCTTCGCACCATTTGCACCTTTTATACGTGTAACAAACCTTGAACCGCTAACGCAAGGGAACAAAATTCGGAACCTGATCTATTATTATTTCATGCTCGCAGAGAACGAGGGCTTCATCGGCGCCCTGCAGTTGAAAGTATATCAAGGTCTAGTCCAGAGCCTCTGCTCAGCCTGCAATACCTTACAGATGGAAGGACATAATTTGCATTTGAGAGGACTGCAAGGTTCAGGTGGTAGTTCTGATGGCTTCGCTCGTGATATGGCCAGTGGTGGTGTCTCTGAAGAGATATACCCGGAGCTCAACATCCCCACGACGAACAAAAAATCTCTCATTGCAAAGCTTAGGCTCAATCCAGTAGCACTCGCTGAGATCGCGGGAGATACTACTGCTAGTCAGCGGGCAGACCTCCCAGGCAGCGAAACCGGTCAAGTCGCAATGTTGGTGGATGATTCAGAGCAAGGAGAGGAGGATACAAACCCGGAATTCCCAGCCATCCTTTTCGGCGAGTCGGTAGAACCCCCACGGGCAGTTCCACACAACAACCCCAACCCCGACATGGCTCTCGGCTCTGATTCCACCGATCTAGGCCACAAGAAAAAGTCAGAAACACTATGCAGCGACAATGGATTCGATTCCTCTTCCGCATCGCCCTTTATGCCGTTGACGAGTGAAATAAGTGTCCCCATACCAAATCATAGTTACATCACCACTGGTGAAGTGGGTGCTAGCACAATGTCCATCCATACTCTAGACAGTGAGACGACACACGAGAAGAGTGGACAAGCGTCGCGCCAACGATTGAATAGTCTAGTTACGAGAACACCCTCCGATCGACGCAGAGCTGTATCGGTTATCAGTATCAGGTCGGTCAGCAGCATCAGTAGCTGCAATGATAGCGAGTACCGACCTGTCAACGAACAGACTGACCACAACGCCCTGCGCCCGGCTTTGAACACGTCTATACGCCAGCCTCCGATGTTCCAAGCTCATGTCGTGGACGTTATCGATCTTTGTAGTGATGATGACGATGACCCTGTTTTCATGGGATCAGCGAAGCGTGAAGGGCAGGAAACATCAGACGCACAAGCATTTCTGCATGTCTCTCGCCCGAGGGATGGTTCCGGCAGCGATCGCTCGAACAAGGTGCCACCGCCTGGTACTAAACGAAAAGTAGCCTTTTTGAGTGGTGTCGAGGAAGATGGAATGGTTGAGGAGATAGGTGGAGATGAGTGGAGGAGAGCTTCCTGGAGTCGTTCACAGACGAAGAGATCCGGGCCACACAGTTGAAAGGGCTTTTGATAGTAATTAGGCATCTAATTGTATGGGCGTGTGCAAGATTAAGCTGAAAGCCTAGGCCTGGGGTTTAATACGGACATAATATGCGTATCTAGTACAACTGTAGGATAGGGAATTGGGGCATCGGAGAAAATTGCGTGGAAATGCATCAATGTTACATGACGTTACGTTGCCCTTTGCCCATTGCAGTCCTCTGGCGCAACCTTGGAAGATTAACGATGGTTTCCGAGTCCTCCTATTCCCTTGCACCTAGTATGCCTTCACTCGCTATGTTCACTGCGCTAGTCGCGCTAGTTGCATCCTCTACAATAGAGAAACCTTTTCAAATGTAATAAAACCACTGTTTCTAGGTGATCTATTATCAGCTAACGTGTAAATGCATCACAATTACACCATCGCCATTAATCATGAGACAGCCCAGTAGTAATACGTATGTGCAAAAAGATTACAGCTCCAACCAAGGACGAGAGACTTTGTGCTGATGACAAGTGACGAGAACGAGGCTCTTGTAACGCGGACACAAAATGAAGAGCAAGAAGAGAGTGACACCGACGGAATGGCGAGTGGACCTGAACCCATAAGCACGAGCTACAGCTGAGGCCGCAATTATTTTGACAATGTTTATCAATACATACCGACTGCCGAGGCTAGACGGATATTATATGCGAGAAGAAAGCGATGCCAACACCCAATTACCACAACTGACAGGTCGGCTCCTTGGCCTTGCACTGGAAGCTTTCCTTAAACTCCCTACTATTCGCCATCGTACCCAAGATGCGAGCCCACTTCGGTGCATGAGGGTCAGTGTAGATACGACTGATAGCAGTATCCTTCCTTGTCTTGCCACACCACCAGTTTGAGTAGCTAACAAAGAATAGCTGCTCCTGTGAGAAGTGCTCGAGACCCGGTAGATCCTTGTTTGGCTTCTCCTCAGCACGGCGCTTCCACGCTCGGAAGGCAGCTGAAAGACCACCTGCGTCTGCGATATTCTCTCCGAGAGTAAGACGGCCATTAACGTGGAGTGGCTTGTCGTTAGATCTAGGGACGGTGAAATTTGCGTACTGGCTAACGAAACACTCGGTCTTCTCTTTGAATGCGTCAACGGTAGCATTGGACCACCAATCGGTAAGGTTGCCGTTTTGGTCGTAGTGACGGCCAGTGGAATCGAAGGCGTGGCTAAGCTCGTGTCCAGCGACAGACCCAAATGCACCGTAGGACATGTAAGCAGGTACGTTTACATCGAAGACTGGGAACTGCATGATACCAGCCGGGAAGACAATCTCGTTGCCAGGCGGGTTGTAGTATGCGTTGACGGTTGGCACAGTCATATCCCACTCGTCACGATCAACGGGCTTACCGAGAGCCACCCATTCTTCATCAACAGCGAATCTGCGCATGGCGAGAGCGTTGTTGAAAAAGGCATCAGATGAAATGTTGACCGACTTGTAGTAGTCACCAAGCTTGGACGGGTCCATGATATCGGGGCTTTTGGTCGGGTATCCAATCTTCTGAACGATGTTGTGAACTTTCTCGACTGCCTTCTTTGTGGTATCCTTGTCCATCCATTCGGCATTGTTGAGCTTCTTGGTGAATTCGGTCTTGATGTCGGTAATGATAGTATCACCGAAGTCCTTCGCTTCGGCTGAGAATGCTTCCTCAACAAAGAAACGGCTCAAGATCCAACCTACGCCATCATCGACATGATCAACACATGTTCGCCATCTTTCAGGAGCGGATTCGGAATCCTGTCTAGATCAGTTTACCGATAAGCCAGCTTGCAACCGCAAAGCACTTACCTTGCCAGCAAGTACGTTGACGAACCGCCGATAAGGTTTCACAGCGTCGGTATCAATGTACGATGTGAAAGACTGGACAGCTTTCCAGAGGAAGTAGCTTTGCAGTACCTCCTTATCAGTGGCAGCAAGTATAATGGATAACTCCTTTAGGTACTTCGGGCTCCCGACGATGACGCGTTCAACCTTGCTATATGTAGGGGCTTGGTCTGCAATGAGTGCCTTCAGCTCAATTTCTGGAGCGATCGCAGTAGCTTCGTCGATAAGCATTGGGTTGTAGGATTTCTGAAGCTAGGTCAGCGCTAACGACGCCAAACTCTGATGCAGTCAAACTCACCGTGACATCTTCCCGATCTTCTTCAGTAGGAGATGCAGCAGCAAGTTTCTTCTCGAGATCGATAATTCCAGCAAAAGCATCCTTATTATGGTCGGGGTACAAAGCACTCAAGACTTCGACAGCTACCACTCGATACTTCTCGACGAGCTTGTCATCCTCGTAGCGTTCTTTGGATGGCAAGCCGAATCTCCCAGGGGCTCCAACAGATACAACAACAGTGTCTGGGTCAGTGTCGTCTGCACCGGTACCAACCGTGACCAGGGCAGTGACTCCGTACTTGGCGAGAAGAAGGATGGCATCTTTTGTCGCATGAACATTCGAGGTAGCGACGGGATAAGTCTTCTTGATCTCGTCCAACACGTGCAAAAGCGGCTCCGCTCCAATGCTCTTGATCTTGTCTTCGTTGAGGCAGGCGTCGTACGCGGCTTTCATTTTATCGAAGTTGGCCTCGTCGGCAGACTTGGCAGAAGTGTAGAGCTGCATGGGCGAGAAGTAGGAGTGCTAGGTAGGATTGGTGAGTTAGGAAGACTTTGTTTTATCCTGGGAATACCTACCTGCGAGTCCTTGGGGTATGGGGCCTCAAGAATATGGCGTAGCAACATCTGTGAGTTCTCAGACATGATGGTACCTGTAAATGCATCGCCCTGGTCAGCGCGTAGGTCGTGACGGTTCCTCCAGCCGCCACAGACCAGCTCCTCGAAATTGTCGCATGCATCAAGGTCCTTGTAATCTGGGGATAGATTGTACAGGATCTCCGATGCCGCATGCACACAAGCTGGAGTTAGGCACACGTCGGCCTTGTTGTCTACGGTGGTGTCGTCACCAACTAGGCACACATTAGTCTCGAAACTGATCCTCACAATGATCAACGAACCTTGAGGAGTGCCATAGTACACGAGTCCAGCGCCTGCAGCTATGACAAGCAATTTCGCGAAAGTCCGCACTTTAGGGCAGCGGTGCACGTGATGGCTTGTCTCCCCCCTGGCACGGGTGGCGGGAGCGATAAGTGGCGCCTTCTCCGACATGATAGACAGTTAGACGCTGTTGAGAAAGAGATTGGCAACGTCTATATAGAGATGAGATGAGCGGTGCCAGCCAGCTGAACACCGAAATGCAATGATGGATGGGATGAATGAATGAAGGAGCTGGCGATGATGCGCGAACGCGGATCATCTGGGGTGCAGCTGATGTTGGCGCGGAAACGCGGGTCCTTGCAGTTGGCCCATGCGCCCAAAGAACGTCATCTCACCTTCTCATCACCTATGCTCTACATGTCAGCCCTCCATCGTCAAGACGGTCATGGCGTTAGCATTTTGGGCATGGCTCTACCGGCCGTGTCCTTCACATTGCACGAATGCCCACGTCTATACTGGAAAGACCGGGCTACCCGTCATTCCGCCTCATCGAAGGCTGGTTTGGAAGAAGAAAAGAAATCGTCACGGCTGAAGTTTCCAGATGTGACCCGAACAAGGTCGGCGGTCATACCAATGTGGAAAAGAGAAGGGTGCTTAGTCCACGACTGACCGGCCGTTCGAGGGACAGTCAGCGGCAATAAGTACTATTGAAGTATATACAAGAACTCATCATTTCGAGTGCCTCTTCCACAACACAGTTGCAAAGAACCACCTTACTCCCCAGACGGCCCGGCCAATGAAGTCCCCAACTTCAGTGGCGAGCCAAAGTTCGGTGTACCGTTGGCGTTCCAGTTGACCTTCTGCGCCATCGTGTATCGGTTGCCGTCGCAAGCTCCCTTTTGAATGGCGGTAGCATGGAACACATTCCAGATCTCTTTACCATCCGGGCTCGTGAAGAATCTACTCCAGTGTTAGCTCCAAAGCACTTTCCTGCACACCAGCAACGCAGATAGAACTTACCCGTTGTGACCGGGACCGTAGTTTCCATTTCCACTTGTCAAGAGCGGCCCGGACTTGGACCAACTCTTCGCTAACGCTGGGTCACCGTTGTTATCCCACGTCAACAGACCCAGGCTGTAGTTGGGTGTCCAGCAGTAGCTAGCCGAGTAGGCAAGATACGTCTTGCCACCATGGTACATGGCTGCCGGGCCCTCCATGACAGGTTTCTCGTTCTTCTCCCATGACTGGGTCGGCTGAGAGAGGATTTTCGTGGCGCCAATCTTGCCGGGTGCAGTGAGAGGCGCGATACAGAGTGCCTGAACATTGTTGGTGATGCAGGACCAGACGAAGTGGTTGCCCCATTTGCTGAAGCGGACGATGCTGCCGTCGATGCCCCACGTGTTGGTCAGTTGAGCGTGGTACGTGTATGCGTCGAAGGGGTTGGCGCCACCTGTGTATGCATTAGAATGTGTAGTGTCGAACGATGACTGCAGGCTTACCCTTCAGTACATGTGGACGCTGAAGGTCCAAGTTCGCACTTTGGCCAGCGGAGTAGTAAATGTACCAGGCGCCGTCAAGAAAATGCAACTCGGGCTATTGTGTTGGTTAGCTAAATGGTCAGTTTCCTTACAATGTACAGCAAGTACTTACAGCCCACACATTGCAGCACCTGCTGGCGGTTGTATCCTTCCAAACCGTCTTCGTCTCACCCGTCTTCAATCCTCCTAGCGTTTTCGCCCTCGTAATCCTCAAGTCAGACCATGTCGTGGTCATCAGGTAGTAGTAGCCTCCGCTGTAGGAGATGTGCGGGTCAGCGCCATCCTTTGCCCTGAGCGGGTTCGTGAAGGTAGCTGCGCTAACGAGAGAAGAAAGTGCGAGGACGCAGGTACCGACAGCTTGGAAAAACTTCATCCTGGCAATGTGTGACTGGCTGGGATAGATCAGAGTAAAGAGCTCATGGTAGCAGATTCTTGATCACTCTTATAGGGAGCATTGTCATACTATCGCGGGAAATTTCATGGCTTGAGACAGGTTGGCGTTGTGCCTCTAGGCCTGAGAAATTTCCATAATCCGCGAATGGCAGTTTCGAAACAAAAAGTGCCAGGGGATGTAGATTGAGGTTCGGCGATGATTTTCACAAACAGGAGGCCCGGTGGAACGGAACGACTACGGTTTCATGATCGACAGTGCTGAACCGCTCCTATTGGTGCGAATAGTCTCCATCTCTCCGCATTGGGGAATTCTCCGCCCCACACTTACTCCTAGAAACGAATTTACCATCTCGTTTGGTAGGACAGGTGACAAAAGATGCGATTTGTCCGTCTACATGATAGATTGGTTAGCAAGCTAACGCTAGTAAGCCTACGACTCACGATACCTGAAGTCTAGAATCAACGCTCCGGCGTTCTTCTTCTCGCCCTGATTATGAAGAATAAAGCCTTCGACAAATGAAGGACCAGCCAAATCTCATCTATCCGTTGACATGTGCACATTCTGGCAACTAAATGCCCATTGCAGCGGTCGCGCCTGTAATCCATTGCGCATAATCGCGTGCAAGAAAGGGGTGGCTGCGCAAGCAACATCCCTAGCTATCGCCCTCGGTACCTAGTAGACTTCAACTCTTTCGAATCTCGCGCTCTTCCTCGCTCATGCCACTGGCGTACACAATTAGGGTCAAGGTCATCGGCCGCATTACCAAGGATTGCTCGGTCAGATTACGGAACGGGAGGCAAACGCTAGGGCAAACGCGATTTACCCCCGACGTATGATGCGCCACCACGATCTCGTGATGTTCACCAATACACTTTTGCTTGTCAGATACAGAAATTGCGGTCTTCATCCTTCCAGCCTTACAGTTAAACTAATGTCGACGAGGCTGCCTTTCGTTCTGCCCTATTCCTCTACATAGCCCATATGCAATGCTTCACCATTTGTATCATACGCTAACATCGACATCTAGGCCCTGCGCCCAAGCCACTATGTCGACATCCACAGCGATTCCTAGCGCGCCACCAATTTCAAAAGATGATCATGATGCCTGCTGTCCTGACTCCTTGGGCCCTTATCGCAGGAGCCTGCAGTCAGGGGCGACCGTGACGTCAGATTTGACAGATATCTCTTTCTGGCGACTAAATTTCGCAAGTATCATTTCTACAGTATCTTGCGCCCACTCAAGATTCGGGTCGAGGCATAGGATAATAAAACCTTCACGTACCAACACAACAGATAGCGCAACTGTTCCTGATACCGTCACTAGCATATTATGGCCTGTTACAATAGCGAGTTTGCCTTCGAAAGCCTTTAGCGGTGGTTCTGATGGTATTTCGGCCATCTTCGAAGCTATTAGTGCGATTCCAGTGAGGTTTAGAAACACCTCGCAGGTCTTAGATTGGCGAAGCGATCTCCAAGCGGGTTAATGGGCTAGCTGCGAAAGAGCATTCCAAGCTTATCCCAGAGGGTTTTACAGATTAACAGATATGATGCTCACAGTCTGTTGCTAATGATGATGTCAGCCTCAATGCCGATGTGCGGAGGCTTTCAACTGCCACGGAGTGCCTCGGTACATTGCGGGGAAGCCACTAGTAGTGGGGCAGTGAATCTCGTAAGCGTAGCTATTTCAATATAACTACATGTACCCTTTAATCGCTTCCGTCTCATCTAGTCATCTCATAACCCTCAATATTTGTTGAAGAATCTCGTATTTCTACAGGTTATAGGAGATTTACGGATCTTGACCTTGACTATGACTTTGGACTTCTCCCAATATGGCGGTCCCTCCGAGGAATGGCTTGCGGTTGAGAAGACACTTCCTTCATTGACATTCAACACCAGCATGGATCCAATCGCCCTCAGATCTGCTGTCAATACCGAACGAGAAACTCGATCAGCTGCTGCGATGGTCGAGTTGGCAGCACAAATTGAAACTGTTGACTATTCCATCCCGACGCGGGATGGCTCGTTGATAGAAGCCAGAACCTACCGGTTTGTGAAGATAAGCAAGTCTGAGAAGCTACCGGTGTATATTTACTTTCACGGGGGAGGCTTCATCTTTGGAACCCTTAGTAGCGAGGATTTCACATGTACGCAGACGGCTATTAACACTGGCGTCCTCGTGCTGAATGTGAACTACCGCCATACGCCCGAGCACACGTTTCCAACAGCATGGTACGATTCACAAGACGCTCTCGCCTGGCTGCACAAGAACATCGACACCGTCGGCGGCGATCCTTCGAAAGTTCTTGTTGGTGGTGTTTCCGCCGGTGGCCAGCTCGCAGCTTCTCTAACGCTCGAACAGCACCTTGGAAAGAGCGAAGTGCTAAAAGGCCTCCCAACTGTCGCTGGCCAGATCTTAATCATCCCGTGTGTTGCCGATCCATTTACCTATGACCAGGGACCAGGCAAAAAACTAAGAGTGTCGTCCTACGTCGAGAACGAGAATGCGCCCATACTGCCCAAATCGACCATCGAGTTCTTTACGACCTTGTTGAAAGTCGGCACGCCCGACTTCAAGGACACGAAAGTCAATATCGTCAATGCTACAGAGGACGAAGCCAAGAGTCTACCGCCAACAGTGTTCGGAATTGCTGGATTAGACCCGTTACGAGACGAGGCGCTGCTGTATGCAAAGTTGCTGTCAGAGGCGAATGTACCGACTGAGATTCGATTATTCAAGGGTGTGCCGCATGGGCATCGAAGGTTCGGCAAGGCTCTGAAGGCGTCTGAGCATTGGGATCAGTGTGTGGATGAAGGGATACTATGGGTATTATCGAAGCCAACAGCTACCGGAGAATTCCTTGTCAAGTTACCTTGAGCACGACAGACTCAGGGCAAAAGTTGGGCAAAACTTCCAGACATACACTACATTATTCTTAGCTGTTGCGTATATGCAATAATCGTAATGCTTCTCATAATATTCGTCAAGAAGGGGGCTATGGCAAATTATTGATCTGCCTTCTTAAGAATATGTCTTTCGTTAAGGTCCTGACTGGTCTCTAATGACTGTGTCTATCATATAACCGATCATAACTACTAGAGGTAATCTTGGAGTGCTTTTACACCTTGTTCCCACGTAGCTGCGATGTCATTCTCGTAGATCCACGACATATCAGTACCACCGTCTACAATGAGCTTGTTCGCAACGCGCTCATCAAATGAGGGATCACCAAGTTCCTGCAATCTCTTCGTACGACGGCCCGCTTCCGACGCGAGATGCTCGTACATACGGCTGTAGTATGGCAGCCTGATTGTGTTAAATAGTGGTAACGCTTTGCCCAAATCGTTCTGGAAGTACCCGAGTGCTTGCGCAAGAACCCATCCGTCCTCCATCGCGAACCCTGCGCCTGACCCGAATGCACCAGAGAGAGCGTGCGATGAGTCGCCAATCAGCACAATCTTGTTGTCCCATGCTGTCAAGGTACCGAGCTCTGGCCCAGCAAATGCAGCGAACTCACGCCATCCGCCTGGAGGAACGCGCGACAACGCTTCGCGAATCTGCGGCAGATACTCCTACCCGCAATTAGCAAATCCAGCACCAAATGAGAAATTGGTGCGATTTACCGTAAAGTGCGATTCGACATGTGCGTTATCGACAGGTACGCCCCAGCTAACCTTGCTGGCGCTATGGGTCGCCGGATCATGCCACGCTCTGGCTGCAATTTCCCATAGACCTTCGCCAACTGGTGAGAAGTACACATGTGTCGTGGGTGTATGCCACCAGGCGGTAGTGTCGAAACGTGAATCCAGCTCCTTTACGTCGTTCCATGGGACCAGGGTGCGCCAAATCGTAGTGCCGGTGAACTTGATCTTGTACTCCAGCCATGCTGCATCTCTGACAACCTGTGGTCAAATCAATTTTTTTCGTGGCCATCTTCTATAGATAGAGACACTCACTGAACGAATACCGTCAGCACCAACCACAAGATCCGCAACGGCTGAGCTACCGTCTTTAAAGTGCAACTCAACGCCCTCTTTGCCTAGGTCCATTATGCGAGTCAGTTGTTTCGAAAGCTGAATGACACCTGGGTTGATGTGAGCGAGCAAAGCTGATTGCAGTTTTGTTCGCTGCGTTCGGGTAGGAGGTCTCCTGCTATCGTCTCGTGGCTTCTCGCGACGATGAAGCTCTGTTCCCGAACGCCCATTCCTAATACTAGATTTAGTTTCGAGTTTTCTCAGATAGTATATTAATTCTCACAAGTTCAAGACAGTCCATGTTGGGTGACCGCTGGTTAGCGTGTCAGCGACACCCAGCAGGTCCAAGACCCTCCAAGAGTTCGTACCGATACTTATACCTGCACCAACCTCACGCAGCTCGCTTGCTTTCTCATAGACTGTGACATCGACATGTGGTAGTTTTGACAGCGCGATAGCAGCCCCCAAGCCTCCAGGTCCACCACCGACGATGGCAATACTCAGGTGTGGTGTCGAGACATCGATCGCCATTGCCGAATTGAAACAACATTTACGATGAGAAAGCAACAGTCTATGCTTTATATGTGTAAGTTCTACTGCGATGGACAGCTTGTGGAGTGTTGACTAAGCATGCAGCTGTCGCACTTATCAATGCAAATGGCGTGCGAGAAACCTAATCCACTCGCGCTTATCATGCCATTCAACGACTCCTTTCGGAAACCTCACTCCAGTTCCACTCTCGTTTCAGTCTCTACGTTCCCCCATTTCCTTTTCCTGAACACTTTGTGCCCTCATCCGGAATCAGTCGAGTGCTAGTCATGTCTTTGAAACGGATTTTGCCCGTACAATGTGCGCGTATATAATTAGCCCACTATGAGACTGGACCCTATCTTGAAGTATGAAATGTCTGAATGATTGATTGACATATCGTTGAAGCTGCAGCCAGTTTCGAGTTGTGCATGCAATCACCGAATCCCATAAACGCGCTAAGCACGAGTGCCTGCCCTCCTCCGTTTGTCCAGCTTCTTCATTAATGATATATAGCACGTAGAGAAAGATATCCAAGCGGCTTGGGTATTTCCCATCAAATCTACTGAATGTAGATGAATTTCCAGTCGAACGGGCCAAGCGCACGATATGTCGTGAACCAATACTTATCTCTCAGGTAAACTGCGCCTAAAGCTATTCTTGTAGGGTACCAGGGATAGCGATCTTGCAATCTGTAATTACTTGTTAGAGTCCTGTTCAATCATGTCACGCCAAAAGCAGTGAAAAACACGGTGGCGATGCTCTCCATCATACTATGCTCTATCAACTGCGCGAAGATCGAGTCGATGTTAGGCTGTGTGCTTGCCAACGAACTGTAGCACTTCTTTTACATGTGTTTCAAGGTTCTCCGCAAAATAATGACCTCTCTCGTCTACAATCGATACCTCAGCACCATCATGAAACTCGCTCGCCATACCCTCCGCAGACTCCGCTAGCGTGAATTTTTCGCCCACCATTAATTACGGGACCTTCACCTTCCCATGCTTAGCAAGCCACTTTCTATTTTCCTGTGCATTTAATTTTTCTCAAAAGCGCGATAGACCTCGAGTCCCGCCCTAACAGCGCCAGCCTGTGGGAACGCGAGCGCATAATTACCAACATCGGCGGGTGTGATCGCAGCGCTATTGTATATAATCTTGCCCAAGAAGTGTTTGCAGTACTCGCGCTCTTTACCTGCAATCAATGCTTCGGGTAGATCCGGGACTTGATGGAACAGGGAATGGAAGACATCTGGCGTGCCTTTGATTCCAAGGTTTGCTCATAGCACGATGTTCCCGGTAGCGAACATTCACCCCAGATGACGCTAGCGGCATAATCAGAGTAGCGCCATGCGAATGCGAATGCGACCATACTGCCAATGTCTTGGCTGACGACGTGGGTTTTCTCCTTGTTTCCAGGGGGGTCTAGATCAGGATATGGAGGTCTTGGGCCATTTGACTCTTCTCGTACCCGGTCAAAAGCTTCGATGACTTTCCATCGCCGCGGTAATCTGGTACTACGACGTGGTAGCCGGCGTCTGAGAGGGGCGTAATGACATGGCGGAACTGATAGGTTGTTTGGGGAGAACCATGTATCAAAAGAGTGGCGCCCGTGAGCGATATCGAAGATGAAGGAGAAGAACTAACGTAGTTCAGGCGTACTTGCTCATGTGGAGGTGGTGGGTCCAAATGCACAAGAAAACATACATTTAGTTTGTGGCAGATCGTATAAAGGTATTCATCAGATTTGGATTTGTAAGAGATGACGCTGGTTGAGCGTTAGATGCATTGTCATTGGGCTAGGCTTGTATTTTACATGCTCTTTCATAACCTAGGCTCACATTTGAAATGTAAACATAGGGTCATGAGTCTGCGAATAGTTTCGTAGGCCGAATTGTGACCTCGCTCAAGTTTTCGGCGAGGGCAATAAGCGTAACAGTTGTAGCTCCTGGGGGAATCTTTTATCGGTCGCTTCTTCGCTTCAGTCGCCCTGGGATACGATAATGACTGCCGTCTTCCATGACTTCTTGTTTGAGCGCCGAGCATGTGCCTTCGCTAAATACAAGGAATAGAGAAGGTATAGCAAAAGGCAGAGGGAGGGAGATGAATGCGTGCTGCTTCGAGCTTGTCTTCAAACCTTGCCAATTGCAGACTAGACTAGACCCACTTCCCAAGGTCATACCTAGGTATACTCACGCCAGTTGGTCTTTGCTAATCTTGCCAGCATGCCCCAACAGCGCAAGTCGCACGCAACAAGCAACCTAGCGCAAGCTACACAGACAAATTTGGATGTCTATCACGCCAAGCCGACCGCTTTGAGGACATGGCGCAATCAAACCCCGCAATGTCACCACTATGGCTATGGATGATCCCTAGCCCAGCATGGGATATCTGCTGTGTAAACGACTCGTATAAATACAGGGCCAGCAGGGTACTCGAGCGTGTATTAAGACCACCTAACAATTCAGTACCCTAGATATCAATCAGAATGTCGACCAATGGGGAACAAAACCTCGAGCAGGGTAACAAGGCGTACGCTGCGTCATTCACACAGGGCGACCTAGCGCTTCCACCTAGCCAAAATTACGCTGTCTGTACGTGTCAATACTCCATGTCCATGCGTGTGTACTGTCACTGATTGCTATGTATTCAGTGACGTGCATGGACGCCCGCATCGACCCTGCCGCCGCGTTCGGTATACCTCTTGGAGCCGCCCACGTCATACGCAATGCTGGAGCCAACGCCCGCGACGCCTTTCGCTCCATCGTCATCTCGCAACAACTTCTGGGCACCACCGAGGTGCTGGTAGTCAAGCATACTGGCTGCGGTATGCTTATCTTTGATAACGAGACTGCAAAGGGTCTAGTAAAGAGGAATAAGGGTGAAGCAGCATTAAAGGAAGTGCAAGATATTGACTTCCTTACATTCTCTGATCTCGAGGCGGAGGTCAAGAAGGACGTGGAGTGGCTGCAGAGCAGGGCTGTTGAGACCGGCATCAGGTTCACAGGCTGGATCTACGAGGTGGAGACAGGCAAGGCACGGAAGGTCGTGTAGGCCATACAGACACACCTCCATGTAATTAGATACCCTCGGAAATTCAGTCTAGTCCTCGAATATTGCTTGCCTTTCGTGAGGCATTCCTGTTTGGATGCAGGGCATCCTTCTCCCAAGGTTACTCGGTGGCTCGCACATTGCACCTTCCCTGTTCTGGACTAGCTGAAAATCCGGGCCGAGCGTCATAACAAAGTCAGGCCCATGGTCCATGCACCGCATTCCTCACGAGCATCAACGAATAGAACTTCACGTCCCACCTTCTCCACTCCCTCTGGCACTCCTTCCCTGGTAGCACGATGGCTAATTTAGCAATCACGTTTTGCGAGTTACCGGATGAGTTGATACTAGAGACTATTCGCCATCTCAGTAGCATCCGCTCATATGAACCTCAATCCACAGCCTTCAAAGACAAAGAGAGGGAGAGAGCAAGGCAATTTGAGAACGGCGTTAGGCAGCTGGCTTTGCACTCAATCTGTCTCACGTCCCATCGCTTTCGACGCATAGCTACACCGACTCTATATGCTTCATTCCTTGGGTCGGCAACTTTGCATGGCTTCGACCATGTAAAACTCTTTTACCGTACGGTATCGATTCCAGGGTATGCGGTCGGTTTGAAAGTACGCCTGGCTGAATATGTTCAGTACGTGGAAAATCGCCTGTCCGACCATTTAGGCAACAGCCTCTGCGCCGACACCGAGTACTACGACACTGTCATAATGGTAGTGCGGTATTTTTCCCTACTTGCAGATGTTATCAAACAAGCACCAAATGTACAGCATCTCTCCGTTGTTAGCTTGGAGGCCGAACAGGTGTCCTTTTGGAACCACATCCTACCCAGCCACTATAGCACTTTGGCACCATCTTCCTCTAAGATGGTAGCCGATCATGGTTTTCGCAAGCTGCAAACCCTATGCGTTCAGATTCATATGGGCGGTTATGCCCTCCGTGCTGATCTTGACTGGTTCCGCAACATCTGCTCGGCCATGACATCGGTGCCTTCACTAGCTGATCTTCGCGTCTCTGGTGTCATGACGAGTGGCTCATTTTCGCCAATCTCGGGATCTTTCAAGAGTCTAAAGCGGATAGAGATTACGGAATGCGTTCTCAGTTTTGACGAGGTAGTTGACATATGGTCGGCATGCGAGGGGCTACGGCATATTGCCTGTGAATGGGCTTATTACGGCGCGGGAGATGAGCCATGGGAACTCTATTCTGGACTGCTACAACATACAAAAACACTGGAAACACTCACTTTGGATATGCGGGAAGTGAGGTTCATGTCCAATGCGGCACCTCCGCTTTTCGGCTCACTACGATCATTCGCGCATCTCGAGTCGCTGGTCATCTGCGAAACACTTCTGCGGGTTAGTGCATTGCCGCTACTTGAATTTCCGGACCAGCTTCTGCAACATCGTATAACAGAGCTACTCCCTGAGCAAATGAAGAGTTTTGCGCTGCTTCTGTACAGCAACGACAGACACGAGAACGAGCCCCACGACCGGCTTGATGAGATCCTCGCACTCTGGAATGTAGTAGAGGATTGCAAGACAACCATACCAAGTTTGAAGGTCGTTAGTGTCATATGCGGGGTCCCCCTATGCGCACCCAAGCTCAAGGAAGCATTTAATAAGGTTGGCGTGCAATTCGAAGTTATTCAACAGGCAAAGATCGAATTGCCGTGCTAAGGCCTTAGGGACCTGAAGCGAAGACGCTGATTCTGTCTCGACTTACGCCACAGTCTTTCGGGCTCGCTGTATCATGACCATCAGTTAAAGAATGACATCGAAATTCTTTTCGGGATTCCGGACTGGAAACCGTGTCGAACGTTCAATTGCATCGCCTCGCACTAAGGTCGCTAAGTGGGCCCAGATCTCTCAAATACCGCGACTATTACTTAGAGAGTTTCAACGGGTTCGACAATTTGTCTCACTACTACCCCCTTGCTCTGACAGCTTTCTGCCTTCACTTACGGAGCAATGCTACAATTCAAGACTCTCGATATCACTCTCACTCAGCTAGCCCTCACTACCTATAAACTATCTCTTCTGATAGCCTTGGACCTCTCTCTCTCTCTCTCTCTCTCTCTCTCTCTCTCTCTTGGTGGATCCGCAGAATTGACTATAAGAACACTTCGACTCAGGCCCCAAGGTCTTGCGTCTACGCTCACTCCATTGGTTGACCAAGGATTTCTATCAGAATCATCAATCAATCCGTCTGGCATTTGTGGTCGTGGAAACCGCCTACCTTACAAGGTTACATTACTGGTGCGCAAATTCCATATACAACGATCTTCTCCGATTGGCGTCTTCGTTTCTTCGACCTGCACAACCTTCTTCAAAGTCATACTCTTACTCGATTTGTCTAGACTGATCGCTCTTTATCTTTTATAAGGAAGACCGGACATCACTGTTCAGAAGGTAGAGCGTATTGTATCCTACTGTCCCGCTTTGACTTACACGCCCGCAGTTTGCGACTCTGAATCCAGCACTCCTTAGAATGTCTTCAATCGTGGATATCGATCACCCGATTGTCAACCAGCCTGGGGATGTCAAACTGTCGCCCATCAACCAGCCTACGTTGGAAAAAAGGTCTTCAGACACTGAAAAGAGTGAGGAGCATACTCACTCTCATCCTAAGGATAAGAACTCGAGTATCATCAACACGGACATTTTAGCGACTCCTTTCAATTCGCCGACGCCTAGCTTCGAACGTAGTCAAAGCGATGCTTATCTTGAGGAAAATAAGACCCAGGAGACGATCTTCACAAGAAGTTTCTTTGTTCAGGGCGAAGCTGTCGGCTATCAGGAGGAGCGAATGGGGTGTGAGAATAGAGTAGAGAAGGGTATTAATAACATTGAGGGCGCGCGGAAAATCGCCGGTCCCAACAAAGACTTCGAGACTACCGGAAAGGAGGATATCATAGAGACTACAACCGAAGATGAGGTTTCTGATGAAGTGGAGCTGACCCCGGCGCCCACGCCCGTTCGAAATGGTGTGTCTGCCGCTACCGTTGCCGACAGCTCTGGAGAGACGATCACGAATGGAGGCGAATCACACGACAGCACAGCTGATAAGGCCCAGGAGGCGATGGCTGAAGGAAACGCTACAATCATCTTCCCTGGAGATGCAACGCTAGATGATCATGAGGAAGCGGCTATTGAAACGCCAAAGAACGCTCAGGGCACTCGCAGTGTTCCGCCACACATGCGTCGGGAATTTCAACCTCTAGCAGCGCGCCACTCTGCTCTCCCTGATCTAAGAGTAAGATCGTAGTATATACCTCGAGTACAACGAAACTAAACATGCGCAGCACACGATTCCCCTAGCTGAAAGAAATCGCTTCTCTGACAACCATCGAACACCGCGCCCACAGTACCCGATGTACCAATCTCCCATCTATCGTGTCGACGCCGATCGCGAACAGCTCGCTCGCATGCGCGCCCAGCTCATGAAGACTCAGAACGAGCTCAACGCCTCGCGCAAGCAGAATGTAGAGCTCCGCACAACTGTCGAGGCTGAGCACCAGCACAAGATCGAAACCGCCTTCTCAAGCATGCTGGCAAACCTTCTTCAGAAACAGAGCGAGGCACTGGGCCTAGAGGCAAATGTCGAAGCAAAGGGACGTGATTTGCAGTACCGCGAGAGGCAAATTGAGCAGTTAGAGGTGTATCTTGCTGAGGGCCAGAAGCAGGTCAAGTATCAGCTTGAACAGCAAGGTATCCGCACCATGAACGCCGTAGACCGCGAGCACATCAAGCGTGAAGCTGAACTATTTCTTGAGAAAAGGTTTGCGGATTTCGAGGCCAAAATCGCTATCCAAGCTGAGCGCCTCCGTCTCCGCGAGGCGACGCAACAGATACGCGAGCAGCAGTACAAATCCCTCGTCTGCGAGTCCATCGAATCTTCGTTTCACGAGAAGGCCTTGACGTTCGAAAAAGCAGCAGAGCTGGCCGAAGAACAGTATAACAGCGGCTACGCAGCCGGTAAGGAACTAGGGCGCAAAGAAGCTCTCGGCGAGGCGCAAAAGCTTAGTTTCCTAGAAGGCTACGCGGCGTGTCATCGTGCGCAGACTGCGCTGTACAATATGCGCGCTGGGCGTATTCCGCGCGATAGTCCGGAACTAGATTTCCTATTCGACGCTGGGCACGCAGAGAATCTCCTCACACGTGGTATGCAGATGGGTCGTCTAGATCATGACACCTGCGAAAAGCAACAGATCGGGAGCAAATTCGCCCACGGGGATGGAGATCGAGTTGAAGATAAGGTGGAGAAGAACAACCAGTCTGTCATCGTGGAGCAGGGAACGAAGGAAGAGTCTATCCGCAATAACGGACGGACCCCTCCCCCTCCCCCTCCCCCTCCCCGCCCGACATTGGCAAGTGCTCTCCGTGGCAGTGCGCAGACAATGCATAATGGCCACATTGTGCTGGCGAATAGCTGCGCTTCTCCCACTTCCGCTCACCAGACTAACGGCATGACCGGCGACAAGAGCGTGGGCAAGGGCGTGTATGCGGGTCGGCGGATTGTGCGGTATGAAGAGTGTGAGGAGAGGGAGAATTTGATTGATTTGTATTAATCAGAGCGGAACTGAGAAGGTGCAGCGGAAAATGGTGATGGTAACGGTCCAGGTGATACGATCTGGCGTTGGATTTTGAGCGACAAGGTGCATATGGCAAAGCAAAGGTCCGAAATACCCAGCTATATCTTAACTTTTCGCATCCCTTTTCACCATACCATGAATCATCTATCGCTCAACTTTCCATTGTGCTCCATCCTTCACCCCTCCCACGCCCTCTGCCTCTAACAACCGGTCCATGCCCACGCTCCCCTATCATCGGTTTCCTCAGTATGGGACCAGCCGGCCCTTCACCGAAAGTTTCGCCTTCATTCTCCTCAGGAGATTCGTTCTTACCCGCCCACTTGTTAGCATACTCTTGTGCCCCACCACCGATAGCACGCATCTCCTCGCTCTCCTCACCCGTCTCGCTCGCCACATACTTCCCTACTATCTCTAACAGTTCCTTCCCTCCCTGTGCCATTCGCCCGTCATGCCAATGCGCATACTCATCCCACCACCACTTATGCGTCTCGCCGTCTTTCCCCAGATACCCCGCCGTACCATCAGATTTCAGGCGCGCAACCCAGGGTTTATCGACAATATAGTGTAGGACAGCCACTTCCTCGTCGCGCCAAATATTAATATGCCAGTACCGCCACGTCTTGAGAGCGTTAGTTTTCCAGGACAAACTGCGCCAGCGACCATCAAACGCAGCGTTGAGGAAGTCCTGGTCGGGGAACTTCATCGCTCTAAGCTTTGCATTGCCCAGCTCTTCGAACTTCGACTGCACGAAGGAGGAGAGCGCGGGTGAAGGTCTGTATAGAAACGTGCCGCTGTTGAAATTGCCAAACGTTGCTGGCTCGCTTTGCACGTCTGGGAGCTGCTCACTCGACGTAAGATGTGTGAGCGCGCAGTTCCTGGGATTCCAGTTTTGCGGCGCCCAGGTGTCGTGGTCGAGGTTACACACGCAGGTATGCACTGCCATGAGACGCATGCCTGTATATCCCTGGAGATACGCGTCATTTTCGGCATTGAAGATGAGCGGCGAGGGGTTTGAGAAGACCATCATATCTGCGTCTAGCCAGCATATGCGTTCGAACTTCTGCGGGAGCGTGTGTAAATCGAAGACGCGGAGTTTGGTCCATGTGTCGGTGAAGCGCTCGGCTACCATGCCGTGCTCGGTTCCATCGTCTGGGAGGCGCAAGTGCTCTACCGCGTGGAGGAGGATGTTTGAGTGTTGTGCTTCTGCTTCCAAGGCTCTCACCGACGGCTCTGGCAGCGTTTCTGGCGTGTAGGTGATGATGAGTGGTGTATCCGGCGAGTGCTTGTTAAGCGTATAAGCTAGTAATATTGCTCCAGCTAAGTAACTCGGTCGTGTCAGGAGAGTTACATATGCGTCTTTGCCTACCCTAGCTCCTTCCGTGTTGGCCATCATGAAGGCTGCGAACGTTTGCTTCAACACGATATAGCGTATAAGATCCGGGGGCTCAGACAATCAGCAAAAACCTATTGCAGAATGCGTAATGATGTCGACTGTTAAGGTCAAGTGGTGTTTACCGTGCGTCTTATAGAAAGTAGATTCTGACGTCACGAATCGCCTTATCACGTTACATTGTTCGCGTTCCGAAGCCGCCGGAAAACCGTCTGTTCAAAAAGTTATCTGTACGAGCGACACTGGAAAGTTGATGAACAAATCACATAACTTGAGGGGAGTGTTTCCGGATCTGGGTAGTTGTCATCTTTTCAACCCCCTGTCGGTTTCGCTCGTAGTTGAGAACCCGTGAGTACAAGACCCTGGCATTGGAACCAGTATAATTGTAACAAATTCATTCAGTCAAAATAATGGGTAGACTAGAAAAACAGGAAAGTTGTTCGTGAATTGATTAAATTAAGTCAAATTGCGGGTATCTATCGTGAATTCCTACTGCAACCATATCCACCACCTCTTTCCAATCCTATCGTACAAATCATGTCATCTCTGTTGATTCAATATGCCTTCCCATCCTCCTTGGCCAGCGCCTTGCCCCACGCACTCTCAAACCCAGAGTCTGTAGCCAAATTCGGCGTTGGAGGTGCAGCCAAACTTGTCGCTGGAGGTGGTGGTCCCTCTGCTGTCCCTGGCCTACTACTGAGGACAGCAGCTCCTTCTGGGCTCTCAAACTCGAAATTGCTCGAGTAGACCACAGCAGCAAATGCCTCTAGATCCCTAACCTGCTCAATAGCCGCCAGGTACTCATTGTTTGCTCCACTGCCGATACTGTGGGCTTGTCTGCAAAAGACGGCTAGCGAATTTGCAACTTTAGCTTTTACATCGCTACCCACAATTTCTTGAACGCGGGCGTGGTTGTCGGAGATGGGTGGAATCTTGTACGAGAGTTGGGATATCTTGACGTCGACGAGGTGGGAAAAGGCGGCGTCGAGGAGGAGAGTGAGGACGTGTGTGAAGGATGGGGAGTCGATGAGGTCTGACGTTTCGTCAATTAGGCGGCGGAGAGAGGTGGTTGTGGTAGGCGATGTAGACTCGGAAGAGGAAGTCATGCCGGATTCGCGGAGAACGTAGTCTTCTTGGTCTTGCGATGGGAGCAGGTAAGAGAGCCACTTGCATGTTCTGGGAGCTGTTAGTAAGATGCGTGTTAGGTATGGAGTAGAACATACCTTCTCTCCTCCTCGGTGGCACCCTCGACCTTCTTGCGTACTTCCAGTGTGAGCTCTGATAGTCTCTCCAGGGTAATCTCTTCTCGCGGGTTCAGGAGACCGAAGACCTCCTGGACCGCTACCCTCACCTTCTCGATGAGGTCAAGGCAGCCCCTGTGTAGTAACCACCAGCTCAGACTCAGATATCTTCGATTCGTCTCAAAGTCGTTTCCGTATGCCTGCTCGAAGTTGTCGTCGTCGTTGTTTTCGAGATTGATTCGCGATTCTTCACTGGCAGGTTGTGGGGCGGCCAGCGAGACGACGGATGCGAGGTAGTTGCGGCGGCCGAGGAGGTTTAGCTGGATGCGGGTGAGGAGCGTGAGGAGAGAGAGTGTATAGACGAGTGTAAAAGCACGTGTTATCGCTGGGCGGGATTAGCTTCGACGTCTCATCGACGAGGGGGGTACGTACAGCTAATCTTCATCTCATTCCAAAGTTGCGCTTTGCTCTTCTTGCTCTTTTGCTCGTCACTTGCTCCGGAGTTCCCTTCGGCGGGGCCTGTGCTGCTACCACCTTCTGTACCCACCTGGCTGGTATGAACAAAGCTGTCTGTCTGCAGGCTTGAGCTTTGCGCGTCATCCTCGGTCGTGTCTGCTACACTGGGTGGTGCTGAGCTGGCAATCTCGCTGGGTCCAACGCTCCGTGCTAATCGTTGTGCCTTCTGCCTCTGCAGCTCTTCCAGTACTTGCTCGACGGGTATCGCATCGAGAATGTTCTCCGTCGCCGTGGGCAGGATGGCAAGGACCGTGAAGGTACAGTCTTCCTGGTTCTGTTCGAAGCGCCTGCGTAGACTACCTTAGTTAGATATTGTCTTTTCGTAGATTCTGCAGCTTCGTACTTCTCCTTCGCGATGCGCTCATCGCCCATGCGCTGCCTTGCCTCGGACAGCTTCCCTAGCACATATTGCCCCGCCAGATAGCCAGCGCCCAGCACGCCAGCTCCGATGGCAAAGTTGGTTCGGTTCCGCCTGAACCAGCGACGCGTGGACTGTATCATGCTGTCGTCGACGTCGGTGTCCTAGCCTCGAGCAGGGCGCGAAGCAGGAGTCGCGTGTGGGGAAAGTCGGAACCCCAGCCCGAGATAGCAAGGGACGTGGCACGTCACTGCTGGATCAATGCAGCGATGCAGCGCCTGGGTGAAGCTGTGGCCCGTGGAGATGTATCGCTAATTGTGGATAAAGCAAGGAGTGTGTTCACCAGAGGTCGATACACCAGCAGCTATTGTTCAACCCAGCTCCCAGAGGCTGGTGTTGAGATGCACTTCGGCTTCGCGATTGGGCCGAGGTTCGTCGCCGCTTCGGGACGCCAGCCCCCCGTGATGAACTTGCTCTCCCATCTGATCATCAACCGCCTCGAAGACGTCGACTTTTCTCGTGCATTCCACTATGTGCTTGTTGTAGCCGAGTTCCCATTTAATCCGGCTCACCTCTAAACACAGTCTTCTCTCCATTCGACGTCTTTATCGCCTCTGCAGACACAAGTGAACTAGGTCCCAATCTAGCCGCAGCAGCTTCCACTCATTAACCGTTCCCCAAATCTCCGTATCCCTCGCTAAGAAGACATAGGATATGCTCGAGGGCTACCAATGACCTGAATACGTTATTCCTGACAGAATGAAACCCCAATTTGCTAGAGAGTCACTGGCCCATTGCACGTAGAAAGCACCACCAAGACCTTCTCCACGTGCCATTGTCCGTCGTTGGTGCAATAGCTGCAGCACGTTGCGACATCTTAGTCTACGCACCAGTCATCTAATGGTAACTTTCTGGTATCCCTACGCGTACATGACGAGTGTCAAGATATAGCATAGTCTTCCGCATCGTCACTTCTCCCCACCATGTCGTGCTCAGGCCATTGCTTTGAGAAGGCTGCTCCTGCTCCAAAATCTAACACCCCACAGGGCAGTGGCGAATGGCCAGTTGCGCTGAGTGGCAGCGCGAACTGCATCAAATAGAAAGATATATTAGCCTATACTAGGCAATGGGCCACTAGTCGCTACCCGTCCACATACAAGACTCAACACGTCCAGCCAGCATTCAAGCATATCTCGCCCGACTCGGGCTTCCCCATCACCCTCCATCCCGCCTTCAACCCCAAAATAAACACTCATATACCCCCAGAGTCACCACATCCCGCTAGCCAAGTAGACAAAGATAGAGCGACCTTCGCGGACCCTTCCAAAGCGAGCCTGCTCTCCATCGCTACCCGGACCAACCTAACAAAATCCCTCATCACTGTCCTCTCAAACATCCAATTATCTCAACTAACTCCGCAACAACTCGATAAACAAGCCCTCCTGGTGACTAAGCGCGGCGTAGTGTTTCTCAGAGACCAGGACCTTACAACTAACACGCAGGTACAGCTCTTCCAGCATTCCAGCATCCTAGACAAACATCCCGCGCAGAAAAACAAACAACATATCACCATCAACGGCAGCACAGAAGACCACCGCGACCTGCTTTCCTATTCGCCCTGGCCATCAGGCGATTTCCACGCCGATACGTCCTTTGAGATAAATCCTCCTTCATATTCTATGCTGCGTATGGAGGAGCATCCCCCTGTGGGCGGAGACACAGCATAGGTGTCTGCGTACGGCCTGTACGATGCGTTAAGCGATGCGCTGAAGAAGCATGTTGATGGCTTGCACGCCGTACATACCTCGAGGTTGCAGTACGACACAATTCTCGACCTCTGGGGCACGGGTCCCAATAGGCCACCTGTTGATACGCATCACCCGTACGGACGCATCCTGTCAGTGGGCTGAAGGCATTGAACATTAATTCAGGCTTCGTTACGGGCTTTGCGGAGCTGAAGAAGAAAGAGTCTGGTCAGTAGCCTGTCAGACAGCATCGAGTAAGTTGTTTACTAAGATGTTGCAGATCACCTCGTGCACTTCTTCGACTACCACATCCACTCTGCAGACGATCATCAGGTGCGCTGGAAGTGGGCCGTAGGCAGCGTGGCGATGTGGGACAACCGATGTACAGTCCATCGCGTCATCCTGGGTACCTACCAACCTGGTTCGCGGAGGGGCGTGCGAACGACGGTCTTCGGTGAAAAGCCTATGTTATACCTTCTTTCCGACTCTATGCGTTGGAAAAGAAAATGCTAATCACTATTTCTTTAGCGTACTTGGGACCCCGCAAGCGAAAGCCGCAGTGAGCGTGCTCGGCGCGTGAAAAAGGATGAAGCTGATATAGCGAATCAGGAACGTAAGAATGAGGTTGGAATCTTTGCGTAAATGGTAGCTGCTAAGAGTTTGCATCGTATTTGCTTCATGAGTTCGTGTGCAGAGTGTATGTATTTCAGCTAATGAAAGGAAGCCCAACGTCTGCGTTCGCCAGCACCCTTATTGCAAATTGAATAACGGAGGAAAAGAGAAATCGTATCTGCGTGAAGCGTATTGGAGCAGGCAGCTGGAAATAACGTATGTCTGGAATCAAGCAGCCGCTGTGGCCGCCACTGTCGTTGCCGAAGACGTTGTGTCGCGTAAAAGAGGTTTCGTATCGTCATGGAATTCGCTATCTGGAGACGGAGATGCACTAGAACTTGAGATGATCAGCATCTGTGCAGTTAAACCATGCCATGTCCAGTCCAGAATATCTTTGAGCCAGGGAAAACTGACGAGGAAGTGGACCGGCGCAGATAGGCGAAGATGTCGCGAAACAGAAAACTAGATTCCTAACGACTGAGCGACAACCAACAAGATGGATCCAAATTCCCACACAAGGAAGAAGAAGGAAGGTGCTGGCCGTTGAATAATAAACTGATTTCATAAAATTGTATTAATCGTGTGCTTTATTGTCGAACTGGAAGTAGTGAGCATGATAGGCACGCAGTATGTCGAGATTCATGTAAAGCGCCGCGATGCGAATGGATGAATTTGACTCAAAATGAAAGGGGATTTAGGGTCGAGTGATGTTGTGGGTCTCTTTCGTACACCGGAGGTCTGCTTTGATCTTCTCAATGTGATATTTCCTTCGCTGGCTGCGATGTTGTTGCCACAGCAATCTTTCAGCCTCCGCCTGTTATTCCTAATCCTAGCGCCAATCTGCGACTCAATCCATCCTGCAATGGCAAACCTTGACGGTCGCTGATATCTGTTGGATACGATAGCTTCATAATGAACTCTAGTGGGGTCATCCTCCTGATGGGAATACTGTGGTCGGCCCATATTAGGGGTATATCTCCTTAGTGCGCCGGATTAAGTGAGGCAGAGTTTTCCAAGGAATTGAAACGCCAGGGAAAATATCCCCCAGATATCCCGATGATGTGTAGCAGTTCGGAACCATAGCCGGGTAGTTCAGCACGGATACCAGGCATACTTGGAAATATGAGCTAACGATGGACAAGGATAGAAACTTGCTACCAGCTGGAATGGTCCAGAGCTTAGAAGAGTCTAAGTAGACGAAAAGCCTGGAATATAGGATGTCATCCTTGGCGGAAATCTCCCAGACGTGGCATGATCATCGTAGTTCCAAGGTCAATTCTGCCGAGACAAAATCCAATAGCAGCCACTATGCCCGCATTTCTAGTATGACCTGGAAATGCAGATGACATGATGTCCTCAAGGTGATAGAGTCAAGGGAAGCAAAGATTTTGATGCGCCGTAGAAGTGGCTCTACCAGTCCTCCAGCAATATGGTGAGGCGTAAATGACTTGAATCATCCTGGAACGTGTGGTTTACTCCTACGGTTTAGCTAGAACTGTAGATGTGTGGTCTAGGAGTCGGGGCTTACAGTGAGTGCGAAGCTGCGTGACCCTGAGAGTTTTGCTGTTTGTTGAGCAACGACGGAAGAGGTTCGGAGCTGTTCCATATCTTTGTGGGTGAAGAAGCCCCCGGTCGTTATTGCATACCTTCCCGAACTAATCCTTTAAAAGTATTGCAGAATAGTTGTAATGTTTAGAAACTTGTAGAAGCGTATTATCAACCTTGAAGTTCAGTCTGGATTAGTATTCATGGGGCCGCGTTTCTGGTTCTCGGTCCAGATCTCGTGTCCAGCATAATCAGACGGGTAAGCGAAGTCTGCACGTAGGTCACCATGGGGCGAAGACAGTGGGTATGCCTCTTCAGGTTGGCCAGAGTCCCGAACAAATCCAATATAGTCGGGATTGAAGTTATGGACACTAGTAGTAGTGGGAAAGTCGGTCCATTCCGATACAGCGTCGCTGGGCAGAGCAATTCCATATGGCTCCATTGTAGCTTGATGATTTACGTACCGAGGTATCTCCGATCCTTCCATCTCCCTCCCTTTCTCACCCCAAACTGTATCACCGGATGCGAGGCTAGGCTGGTTTGATAGATCATCCGCCTTGTTCTCAACTGTAAGTGACGCTATAAACGAACCAGACTGTTTGGCCGTGAGACGATATACGTTGGTAGCGTGCTCCAACTCGGCCTCCTTAATAACCGCGATGTGACCCATATCAGGTTCGCGCGTGAGTGTTCTATAATCGTTATTGAGTAAACGTTGATTATTTCAGTAGAGAGCTACCTTTTCAGTGCCGTCTCCACCTCTTCTGCGCCCCCAAATTCCTCGGCCATGTCAATCACATGTGTGCACTATGAAGATCAGCATTGAACAATATGCCCACTCGTTGATGAAGAAAGCATCTCATACTTTGCCTTTTTGGCGCTTGCATTTGGGGCAAGCGCCTCGTTTTCTGGTTTTCTTATACGCGCTCTTAAGAGGATTTTCAAAGCGCCTACGCCCTAGTTGAGCTATTGCTAGTTCTGTAAAAGTACTTTAAGTACAGAAATATTTGTAATTATATTAATTTTTCTAAGATAGGTTAAGATAGTTGCTAATTATAGTTCTAAACCTTATTATCGTTCTCCTATAGTACTAAATATTGATTTTTCTCTAGGCTTATATAAAGCTTTTCTGCTCTGTAGTCTCTAGCTTCTATTTATATATAATAGCAAAATAAATTTTTTTCTTTTTTACTTACTTTAGCATTAACTTTTTAAACCTATTTTGGCCAGAACTTTAAAAGCCTTTTTTTAATAACTTTATTATAAAAAAAGCCTAATAGCTTAAAAAAATAAAAAAAAATGTAGCTTTAATACAGCTTGCCTTTTTCTATTAGGACTATGCAATAAGTAAAAAGCTTTTATTTTTTTATATTTATTTACTAATAATAAAAGCTACGCTAAGCATTAAGCTTATTAAAGTAGCTAAAGTAATTACTTTTTACTAGCTATTTTAAAAACTAGTTACTAAAACTAAAATTGCAGAAAACTACAGCTATATAAATTTTTTTAAAAACTTTAAAAAAATGCTGAAAGTACAGTTATATAGGCTGTATAAGCTATAGGCGCTTAAGAAAGTAGGGAAACTTTAAAATCTAGCTTGTAGTATTTAGTTAGATACAAGAGCAGAAATTAGGTAACTAAAGTGTTATTTTTGTTAAAATAGGCTAGTTAGGAAATTATAGTTAAGAGCTGCTGCTAGACTACTTTAGGCGGAAGAAATTGAACGCGTACGTTGAGGAGACTTTGAGAACTTTGAGAATATACGCGCTCTTCTCTTCCGTCGTCATTCTTCGTTTCGTCTTCGGCTTCATCATGCGCCCATCAAAAGCGCTGAAGACAATGTGTTGCCCATGCTCCACAGTCGATGGTTCTTTCGGGAGCAGGCGTGCAGACGAGGTCCGTGAATATCGATCCTGTAAGGCACGCTCCAATGTTGTCGAGAGATGGGCTGAGCTAGCTGGCGACTGTGATAATGATGTGCTTCCCTTGCGACTGTGCCCTCCAAATGCCTCACTAGAAGCCCGAGGGCTCGCAATGCCTGTGTAGTCAACGCAGTGTTCAGTAGCCGTAATAGTCACGTTCTTCGACTGCATCTGACGAAGTTCAGTTTCCAGGAAGTCAATCGCGGCCATATGCTTCCTCTCACGTAGCGTGGTGCATTTAGGGTATGTCCTCTTGAGATGCTCGTGTAAGGCGTCAGAATCAACGGGTTGAATGAAAGACATGCCAGTCCAGGGCGGTGTCTCATCACTCGTCGGCTGAGTGCGCTTAATGGGAGATATTGTTGAATAAGAGTCACCGTGGTTGGCCATGATGGAGTGATGGGCTCAAATCCTCGTACTATTAAGACGATAGAAGCATAGCGCGCATATATGATACTGCAGGAGATTGCTCACTCAGCCTAGGCAAGGAGTCAGTGACATGCGGCTCAGAAAGTCGATGCGTTGGCCGTCTGTGCAACACCAGAAAGTGTAAAGCAGTTACTTTTTCTCCCTTATATTTACGCTTGATGCTTCCTATCTAAGCATATCGCCGAGTAGGAATCAACTTCAGTCCTTGATCATGTTCCATCAACGTGGGTTGTGGTTTGTTTTTCAAGGTGGAAATGGAAATCGTGCGAGCGCTTACTGAGTGATTTGGATGGTATGGAGTGGTTCCGCCAACAACAAAGCTGATGGGTCACAGTTTGATCTGTAAAGCTTGGAGATATCGACAGCACAGACACTGGCAGGTAAATACGTGGCAGTAGAGGAGCGCGAAAAGGCCAAAGCTAACAGGCAACCGTGATATGTTAGTGGTAAAGCAGACTATGTATGCGGCAACCCAACCCGGTCTACATCTACAAAGGTTATTGATACGGAGTCCAATATGGGCCGCTAATAGACGAGGTTCGGTGTCAGACTCGGGTAGAAAGCGAGTGGACGACTGTGTACAAATACCCCATTCGTTCGACAACCGAGATTATGAAGTTTCACGAGTCCGAACATGTCCAAAGGATGGGCGCAGCACGTTGGAGGACCATTGAGAAGGCGTCTAGCCAGCAGACGTGGCGCTTGATTGGTCGAATAAACTCCAGCCTGCCTGTGTGTTGGGCACTGAGATTTGACGTCGGGCAGAGACGCAGCATAGGCCATCTTCGTATCGATGAGAACCGGTGATCTATCAAGATTTGGGAATAGAATGCTGGGTCTGGCGTTCTCGTGGGCGCCGCGTTGTGCTGCATCGTGATGCTGCCGAAACCCGAGAGAATCACACGCACGTGACGTCCTACAACTCTGTGCGACAGAGCTATGACGCCGGATGGTAGCCAATATCGAGGAAATGGGGTCTCTGAGATATTACGCGGGGATGTTTATGAATGGTGTTGAAAGACGAGTTGGAGCTGGTCAGGACCCTGGGCGGCCCCGATCGCACCCCGGGGCCTACACGATAGACAAGCTAGTTTTCATATGGCCTGGCGTGGAGGTCCGGGGAGTAGCAGTTCGTCCGTGATTTTCTCGATAGTATCACATTCAAAAATTATATCCTATCTTCAGCTCAGTAAAGCTTTTCGACCTACTAGGCGTATTTTCTACACTACCCATTCTAGAATAATGCTATCCCAAAGGATACCACGCCACTTAGTATACCTATCAGTTTTAAAGCTCAAGACATTCTTTCCGTCGCGCAAGTTCGACGCTCGGATCTCGTACTGCAAAAGATGCCACTCGCCACTGGTAGTGCCCGATCTGTATACCGCGGGATCGCTTGTTACAACATCCTTGTTGATTGCGCCAATTGTCGTATTGCCATTCAGATAAATCGTGAGCCCGGTGCTCTGAGAGTAGCCGGCTAGGGACACGGTGAGTAAAGCGGTTGCATTGAGCGCGGGACGCTTAGTACTGAAAACCACGTCCCATGATCCAAGTTGTGCGGATGCGTAGTACCAGTCTGAGACCTTGGATTCCCCGACGACGAATGTCATGTTTGCAGGAACCTTTTCGGTCAAACCGTGCTGGTTTGGTGCGCCGCCGTAAGTGAATCCGAGCGCTTTCTTGTCAAAATCTCCAACTTGGAAGATTTGCCTGCGGCCTTTTGGTACGTCCCACGTCAGGGTGCGTAGATTGTTGGTCCTGCCGTCGGTGACACCAACGATACTAGTCGTGAAATTGGTATACACATCGCCGAGAACTCCACCATTTGACCATGCGTACAGCCCGTAGTTGCCGCTTCGTACGTGCTTAAAGTTGAATTCTCCAGACTCATCAGCGTACGCCGTGTAGTAGTAGTTGGAGCCCTGGACTAAGGGCCGAATGGAGGTGTTCACATCGCCAAGGAAGACTGCGGCTCCTCCAGCCGGTCGTTTATCAGAGAGTACGAGTTTGCCCTTTACGTTACCGCGAGAGTGATACGCGTTGTCTTTTAGGAATGGGTAAGGCCAGACGCTGCGCTCTTTCGCGGCTCGCTTGCGCGCATCCTCGACGGAGCCATCATTCTATGTGATCCGTTAGATGGCACTGCATAGCTGATATAATTTGTACAACTCACAAGATACCATAACCAAGGACCCCATATCTTGCCAACCGGTTGAGGCGTCTTGATACCGACACGGAAATGAGAAGTATCTTGAACAACGTTAAGCTGCACAGCGTCACCAGTGGCTGACTCGCGATGTACCTAAGGGCGAGTCAGCTCATATGCCTTTGCGACACATCGAGATGTAGAGGCCTACAGTCAAAGTTTGGCTCAGATGGTTGCCGGGCTGGTATTCGTTCGACGCGTGGATGTACCATGAGCCCGACTTGTCACCGTAGATACCGACAAAATCCCTTTCGCGTACATAATTGGCGAAATCATACTTTGTGACATACCTGTAGGCGTGAAGTCAGCTGATGTGGCGTGAATTTGTCATCTACACATCACTTACGAACCGTCAGTGATCTGGAAGGTTTCGTCTTGTATCTCCGTCGCATTTGCATACAGCGACCAACCTGGGAGTGGCGCGTCCTTGGTCGTTGTGTAGCCGTTTGTAAAGCGATCTGGATCTAGGCGCCACAACGTGCGGAAAATGGAGATGTCTGGCAGCGCCTTGTTGACAAAGTACTGATACGCGCCAGCGAGTTCCGGATAGATAACCCAATGTAGATCCCCGAAAGAGGAGGAGAAACTGATATCGATGAATTCGGAGCTGTTAGACACGATGCTTGCTGAAGTGTATCGGAAGTTGCTTTCGCCGTCTGGTCGAAGACAGTCAGTCAGCAGAGCCCACCAGGTAGATCGGAACCTGTTGCGTACCATAACCTGCATAGTGACCACTTGCATTTTTGACAGCATCCGAACCTTGGTACTGGAGGTTGGTCGCATATACAGAGCCCTGTGTGACATTCCACAAATCATTGCCAATAACCCATTGCGTTGAGCCGGTTTGCTGCAGAAAGGGTCCTTTGGCGAAACTCAACTTCGCCGCTGCGAAACACCCAACCAGTAAAGAGCTTCTCATGTTGTAATTGCTGATTGCTTTGATTCTAGGAAGCAACCTACGTTCTTGCAAATCCCTTGGGTTTGGTCATGTTCTTAAGTTCGTTGTGTAAAGCACGCAATTTTCTTGCAAAAAGACGCGCATTATTCGCAATTTGCGCAGACGGAATAAATATATCCGCATTCGGGAGATAGAGCGAAGCTTAGTTGAAAGAAGATATCCAGAACTCTTATCAAGGCTCTAGTGTACAGGGGTCACGCAATCCGCTTCTTTCTAGTTCCGGACACTTGCAGAAAGCTTAACTTACACACCGTTGAGATCTATCTTCAATTGCCCTCATCTCCGCCAGGATGACCATGCCACATCCATTGTGAAAATTTGACATGTTAGCACAGTACATACGGATGTCAAACATCTCCGCACTCAAAGTACTTTCACAGAACCAGCGATAGCTCAACTAGGGCGTAGGCGCTTTGGAAATCCTATCACATACGTATGTTAATTTAAGCGCGTGGACAAAGCTGGGTTCCGCTGACACAACTTCGCGCTTGACTCGGTACTGGTGTATGTGTATGCATGTGTGATTCTATATTGTATTAGGACCCACCAAGCTATCTGTCACGGGGAAAGCTTATATGGATCCAGGCGCATGCCATCCATGTCCTAGCATACGTGTGACAGGTACCGCACGTACTCGATTTAGGTCGCCAGTTACTCTGCGCCGAGTAACCAGCACCTTTCATTGCTTCAGACACTTTTTTTTACGATTTGATGGGAGCTTTGGATGATATTCATAGCTCCACTTCATTCGCTCATCGGCGGCAATTGAGCGATTTTTCAATTCCAATATTAGTCTCTTAAGGCTAGTATGAGCGAAACTGTGCGGCTCCCGCATCGTTCTCCACCTTACCTAACCTCACGGGGCTAGTTCAGCCGAAGCTTTGCCACGTTCACACCGTTTTCTGCTTCGCTGGGTTCCACAGCGTTCTCAGCACCGCTGAGATAGGAGAAGTAGAGAGGTAGCTCTAACGTCATTTTCCGCTTCGCGAAGCCAGTATGAGCGAACCTTATGAGCTTCAAAATCAGTCAGGTTATCCAAGAGAATCTGATCAGCATTACCGTACTTTATCTTTTATTGAAAACTAGTATAGTGAGCTTAGACAACTTAGCCCACAGCGCACAACACAGATCATGACCTGAACGATACTCTTGGAGAATCCGAGGAAAACTCTTTTCACCTGTGTGATTGAAAGAAGAGGAGAATTAAGAGTATATAGACTTTGTTGGAGCATTTCAACATAGCCCATTGCCCAACATGCAATTGCCTTCATTTCCCGGTACAGCTTTCACATGCGCAATGCGTCAGTGACCGCATATATACTTCGTCCTCACACTCATGTCTATAATAGTCACATTATAATCTTCGGCCATTGATCTGGAAAATCCCACTATGTACTCTTGGCCCTTTTCCCTCTTATCAAATTATTCTTCTCTCTGTTGCTGATATTTCAGGTATTTTAGAAGTAGGAGTCTACGGCGTTGTAAGTAATCTAGGCAACATAGTTACACAATAAATATCAGTTTAGCCGCATATATAGCTATCGCGCAGATCCTGTAGCAATGATAGGAAGTAGAGGTTAAAGCAAAACTGTTACATAGATAAAGTAATACTTTAACAGCTATAGTCGCATCTAGCATATAATTCCGATAATCTTTTATTGCAAAATAATCAAAAAGAGCTTATTCTGTACAGCTTAGTCCTTAATTTATTGGCTTTCCTTAACAAACCAAAAGGCTGCCGAGAAGCGGCTTGGGTAGCTGTAAAAATATAAGAGAGCAAATTAGTATTAGTAAGCAGAAAACTAGGTATAAATAAAAAATTATATACTTATATAGTAGTTAATTAATAATATATTACACAGGCGAGTTAGTCGCCCGGTTAAGTTAGTTATAATACTAAAATTTTACTAAAATTAGTACTATGCACAACAGTACAGCACTGTAAAAAATTATAATAGTAAATTATAATAAGCTAATTTATTTAAAAATTACTTTTACTTTTTACTTATATATTTGCGCATTATGCTTAGCTTTACTATAGTATTTATAGCACTTTTAAAAGGGCTTACCTGCCTTAATATACGCCTACTTTTTTATTTTTTTTTTATTACTACGCGCTTTAAACTCTTTTAGAATTATTAGTTAAAAATTATTTTTTACTATAAAAGTTTTTTTTTTTTATACTTGCTTTTTTTTATACAATTTTTATTATATAATAGCTTTATTAGCTACTTAAAATTTAGCAATTTTTTTTTGCGCTAATATAAGCTTATGCGCAACTATAGCTGCACTTTTTAAAACTTTTTTAAAAGCTTTAACTATTAAAGTAGAAAAACTATTTAAATATTTTTAAATTTTTATTTTAACTAGTATTAACTAAAATTTAAATTTTAGAATATTGCTTAGTATTTTTAACTCTTAAGGACTGTTTTTAACAGTAAATAGTAGTAAAATACGCAACTAAATATTAAGCTTTAATATTATAGCTTTAAAGTTAAAAAAAACTAAACTAGCGCTTTTAAAGCTATTTAAAATATTGCTTTTTATAATAGCAGTATTAAAAGCTAGTTTAAAGCACAGTAAAAATTTAATTTTAGTAATATAATTAATGCTATTACGTATTAGCTTTTTAGCTTAATACTTATACACTTTTTTTAAAAGCGCAAAACAACTTATATTAAGTAGCTATAGTAAGTGCGACAAATGCAAAAGCATATAAAAAGTAATAATTTTTTATTTTTTATAGTACTGCTAGAATTAGACTAATATATAGTTTTTATAACTATTAATAATAAGCAGATAATAAGTACTAATAATTTTTTTTTTAGTATGCTTATTAAAGTGCTTTAATTATTTAAAAATAAGCTTATTTATTATTTAACTATTTTTAAAAACTATAATAATTTAATTATAGGGCAGGCTATTTTCCTTGTACTAGGCTAAAAAGTAGTTCTTACTTGCAAAAATAATAAAAAGTAAAATAGCCTACTTTATTATATTAATATTTTAAATTACTATTACTTACTTTTAATTACCCTGCTGCACTATCTTTGGCTGTCCTTAATAGTTAGTACTTAAAATAATAGTTTTATATAATATCTAGCCTATTATAAAGCCTATTTTATTAAAGTTATATATATTTTTATTCTAAATACTATACTTAGCTTTTATATTTTTTATAAGTTAGAACTAGCTTTATACAAGCTTAGGATTTTTATATAAAGCTTTCTAGTAGTTATACTTTTAAAAAGTCCTAGTACTAAGCTATAAATATTATCTAATAAATGTACTAGCCTAGTTCTTACTAATAAATAATTACTTATATTTAGCTAGCAAAGTATCGGCTATATTATTTATAGCAGCTAGTTAGGGTAGAAATCCTTAGTTCTTAAAATAAAATATATACTAGGCAATTACTTTTTTTTTTATTAAAAAGAGCTTTATTTTATTAGGCCTAGTATTGTATTATAAAAACTTTCCTTTTAGTTAATTACTAAGTATTGTTTAAAAAACGCTGTAAATCTGCATAGCTTTTTATTAGGAAAAATTTGCGTTGCATTTTAAAGCCTAAACTATAAGCTATATTTAGTTTTTTTTTTAAAAAGATTGCATATTGTTGTATTAAAGTATTACGTTTAATAGTAGAAAACTACTAATTTTAGTAGGGTCTTAGCATTGTAACTAACTTAACCGGGCGACTAACTTGCCCGTGTAATATATTAGAACTTTATTATTTTTAATAAATTATAAGCCTAGCACTTTACGCACTTTATTTATACTTTTAATAATATATTACACAGGCAAGTTAGTTGCCCAGTTAAGTTAGTTATAATGCTAAAACTTTACTAAAATTAGTAGTTTTCTACTATTAAACGCGATGCTTTAATACAATAATATATAATTTTTTTAAAAAAAAAATTAAATATAGCTTATAGTTTAAGCTTTAAAATGCAATATAAATTTTTTTTAATAAAAAGCTGCATAAATCTACAGCATCTTTTAAACAATACTTAATAATTAACTAAAAAAAAAGCTTCTATAATATAATACTAGGCCTAATAAAATAAAGCTTTTTTTAATAAAAAAAAAAGTAATTGCCTAGCATATACTCTACCTTAAAAACTAAGGATTTCCGCCCTAACTAGCTGCTATAAATAATATAGCTAATACTTTGCTAGCTAAATATAAGCAACTACTTATTAGCAAAAATTAAGCTAGTATATTTATTAAATAATATCTATAGCTTAGTACTAAAACTTTTTAAAAGTACAACTACTAGAAAGCTTTATATAAAAATCCTAAGCTTATATAAAGCTAGTTTTAACTTATAGAAAATATAAAAGCTAAGCATAGTATTTAAAATAAAAATATATACAACTTTAATAAAATAGGCTTTATAATAGGCTAGATATTATATAAAATTATTGTCTTAAGTACTAACTATTAAAGACAGCTAAAAATAGTACTAGTATAACGTGTTTTAACTTAGTTAGAGTAAAGTTACTGCTCTTCTTTATATTATTAAGCTAACTATATATAATACTCCCCTTCTTCTAGATTATATATAGTAATAATATTATTAATATTATTATTATATTAATTATCTTTAATAGCTATAGCAAGTTTATTATTATTATTATTATTTATATATATAGCAATTTCTTTGCGTAGTGCCTCCTATATAATAAACTATTTTAATAAACTTAGCTAGTTTTATTTTTAGTAAATAGCATTATAATTTGCTATATTTTATTAGTTATGCACTGTGTACTATTCTATATATACTTACTTTCTATTATATAATTATAAAATAGTATAGTTTTCTTAGTACTAGCTTTAGCGTACTTATTAATAGCGTAGTATATTATTGTACTTACTAGTGCTATAGTATTTGCGCTTAGTATCTAGAAGTAGTCTTTTAACTAACTTATAATAGTAAGTCCTTATTTCCTATTTGTATAAAAAGCTTTAGTAAGTATAGTAGTAATACTAGAGTGTATAAACTATAGCAAATTAGGCTGCAAGTTTATTATTCTTGCTTTATATACTTAAAAAATATACTTGCATTTTTTAAATTTTTTAATAAATAAGTAAAATTATCTAAAAGCTAACT